TGGGTTCTAAGGACCTTCCCAGAGCGTGTGTGTGTGTGTGTGTGTGTGTCTCTGTGTGTGTGTGACTTTGACCCTGACTCTTGTGGCCAAAGGTTTGAGGAGGCAGGGAGAGCCTAGCAGGAGGTTCATGAACCATCTTTTCCAGTCCATACCTGAACCAGATCACTTACTCCAACGTTCTTGAGAAGTAGTCCTGCAGCCTTTGCTGAAGGCCTGCCTCAGTTTGCCTCATCTGCAGCTTCCCACCCATAGGTCCTGATTTGGCCCCCGATGTCAGAATGGGTAAGTTGACCCCCTCTTGCCCATCATGGCAGCCTTTCAAACACTAAAAGGTAATTGCCTTCCTCCCTAATGTCTTCTCTATACTAAACCTCCCGCTCCCTCCAGCTAACCCTGGAATGGTGCCATCTCAAGGTCCTTCACCCTCCTGGTAACCCTTTTCTCGATTCTTTCCAGTTTATTAATGCCTGCTCTAAAATATGGTACCTAGAATACTCTACTGTAGATGTAGCTGGACCAGGGCAGAATTTCCAACTCTGAGATTCTGATTCAATTTTTCTACGAGCTTCCGGTTTCTTTCATTTTGCAGACAAGGACACTGAGGCTCAGAGAGCTGAAGAGCTTTACCCAAATGACAGACCCAGGATTTGAACCCAGGGCCTCTTCCCCCCCACCAAATTCAGCACTCTTTCCTCTAACTTTCCTTCTTCTCCTCTGGGCCTCTGCCTGAAGGCCTCCCTCCAGGACTGCTGAGGGCATCGAACAGACAAAACTTCAAACTCCAGTCCCTTCTCCATGTCCTGCCGCACCTCCCTGGCTCCTGGGCCCAGCCCATCCTAGTTTATTTTTAGCTCTGAGCCCCAGATATGATGGTGACCAGGCAGCTGTCAGGATTCCTGAGTAGTCCAGAACATCCTCTCCCCCTGCTTTCCCCAGGGCCTCGAAGAGGCCGACCAAGGGTCCCAGAGCTACTGAAACAAAGTAACATAGACAGAGGGACAGAATACAGAAAAAGGACGCCACAGGATGGCCCGACCAATACCTTCAAGGGAGCAGGCATTCTTGGTGAGGTCCCAGATGGCAGAATTTGAGCCAATGGAGAGAAGTTACAGGGACGCAATTAGGTTAGAGCTTTTCAGAGATGGGGAAACTGAGGGGCAGGGACATGCCAAAGGTCAGGGAGCAGCTGGCAGCCCAGCCAGCCTGGAACATGCGTCTCCTGGCTCCCAGTCTTTCCACTACACTAAGATGGAGCCAAGTGACCAGGTCCCTACGCCTGGCCTGGCCCCTCTCCCTTCCAGTGACTTTGGCTAAGTCTCTTTTTCTCTCTATGCCTCAGTTTTCTCACCTGTGAAATGGGGACAAATCCTCTACTCCAAAGACCCATTCTCTGCTCTGGGAACATACAGATGGTGGCAGCATGCCCAGTTTTTTGCCGGGTTGTCATAGCAACCCCTCCAATCCTCCTCCCATCACCAACCTGGCATCTGATGGGGCTGTTTTGCTCCTGTGGGTTCCCACCCCTTCCATCCCCCATACAACCTGAGGCAGAGAGAGCCCTGGAAGGAAGCTCCCAGACTTAGCTCAGGACCCTAACCAGAGTGCTAGATTCTAGCCCAGCACACAGTTGGCCCCTTCCCCAAAGAAACCACCTTCCACTGAGGGAGGATAGGAAGTCTGGTGGACAGAAGCCTGGCCTTGGGTCAGAAGAGCTGGGTTTCTTCTCTGGGCCTCAGGTCTTCATAAATGAGGATAGCAGCACTACTTCTCATACAGGGCTGCTGGGGGGATTGGTACAGCATTTTGTAAACCTTGGGGAAAAAAGCCTTACATAAATGTAGCTATTATTAGTAGTAGTAATAATGATGATCTCATCAATAATGGTAATAATAATCACCACCACCTCTCTGGGGTTTCCTCATCCAGAAAGGGGGGGGGGGGCTTGGCTGAGTTGGCATCTGAGGTGCCTTCCCCTGGAAACCTAGAAGCCTGTGATCAAACTGCGGTTCTGTCACGCCTATCTGTGTGACCGTGGGTAAGTCACAACCTCTGCAAAGTGAAGTGACTTAACTTGTCTTCTCTTCTTGAAAACAAGGAGGCTGGGCTGCCCCATTTCAATGTCCCTCCCAGCTCTAAATCCTATCACCTTGAGGCCAGAGGGGAAAGAGAGGGTGTGTGGGTTTGTTGAGGGGGGAGTAGGGGAGGAGGGCAGAGGAGAATGGAGGATGGTAAAAGTAGGGGAGGGGGGAGGAAGGAACTCAGACATGAAAAAGCCACCTGGAAATGGAGCTGGGGTAGAACTACACCCCCCCCCTCAATTCCACCCACAGGCAGACACCCCACCACCTCACCCACTGGGCTCAGGGGCAAAACCTGCCACTCACTCCCCTGGTTTCTACGGCAACCCCCCCCCCCCACGAAGAGGACCCTGGCCCAAAGATTTAGCTTCGGCCCTGACCTTTACTCCTGGGCTCTAGGTCTGCATCTTTATGGCCCCTTCCAACTCTAAGGCAGCTAAGGGGCACAGAGGATGAAGCACCAGGCCTAGAGCCAGGAAAACCTGAGTTCAAATCCAGCCTCAGACACTTCCCTGGTTGTGTGACCCTGAGCAAGTCACTTTACTTCTCTTTGCCTCTATTTCCTCATCTGTAAAATGGGGAGAGTAACAGCCCTACCTTGCAGGGTTGTTGTGAAGATCAAATGGGATGATAATTGTGAAGTGTTTTTTCAAACCTAAAGTGCCAGAAAAATACCTAGTAGCCACCATTAGCATCCTTATTATCGATGCTGTTATTACCTGAAATCTAAGAACCCAGAGTGAGCTTTCAAAACCAGTCTCACTCGTTCTAGTTCTGGAGGTCATTTCGTTCCACAGATGAAGAAGCTGAGGACCCAGATGACCCAGGGACTCGTCCTCACACAGGTAGGAAACAGCAGTGCCAGCCTCCAAAGCCAGGGCCCCTGCCTCCAGGTCTGTTGTCTTTTTCACTATGTCCCACACAGCTCCTTTGTCCCTAATCTGCTGCTGCTGCTGCTGCTGCTGCTTCTGTCCGCACCGTGGCCCTTCCCCAAATCTCCCAGGGCCTGCCAGTGCTTTCACTGTGCCCTCTCTCTGCCCCTTCCATACAATTCCCAGGCTGCCGTCACTTTCCCTCACGCACATCTCTAAGACCTGCCCCACTCCCCTCTTCTCCCACAGCCCCGACTCTGGTGCAGACACACCCCCCAGCACCCCAACCCCTGCCTGGCTCCAAACAACCTTCCTGCTTCCCTTCTCTCCTTGCCCCTGGGAGTCCACATCCCCTACAGCTGGCTGGTTGAGCTACCGCCCCCTGCTCCACAACTTTCATCGGCTTCCTGATAACAGCACTCTATGCTTTACCCAAACCAGACTACCAGCAGTCAATCAACAAACATTTACTAAGAGCCAGCTATGTGGCAGCTACATGCCCACCTCGATGGACCCTGAACTCCCCTGCCTTTGAGCCTCTGCTTACAATGACGATTGCTACATCTGGAATGGCCTCCCTTACCCCCTTCACTGATTTAATGTCCCCCTCTCCTTTATAGGCCAACTTCAATGCCACCTCCACCAGGAAGCCTCCTCTGATTTCCTGGTCACAGAATCCCCAAATATGAGAGTCAGAAGGGTCCTCAGGGGACACCTAAGCTAACTCAGCCCACTACAAGAGCCCCAAGCAGGTGAGTGCAGAGCTCCAGGAAGGGAAGGAGGCCTCGTGGGTGCCGCTCACGTAGGGCCCTCCTTCCCTCCTTGGAGGCCTTCTCAAAGTGGGCAGCTCAGATCATTAGGAAGCTCATTCTCATCTCAAACCGTGTGAGCCTCCTTGCAGTGGCCGGCTCCTGGTACCCTCACTCCTGGCTCTGTCCTACAGGGCCAAGGCCATTCCATTCCAGAAGAGTCTTTCCCTTTAGACCTCGCATATAGCCCCCGACCTTGTGCAGCCATCTCTTGAATTATTTTACACACAAATGACTGACGTCTGTGTCTTATTTCGTGACTAGTGTGAGACCCCCGGAAGCTGGGACCTTGGCCTGTTTCTAGCTTGCGTTTGTCTAGTGCCTAGCACAGCACAGTCTGCTGTATTATATCATGTGGTTTTTCCCGGCTCAGATTCTATGTTCTACACTGCAAGGTCTCTTCTAGGTGTTCTATCTTATGTTCTAAGGGCCCTCCCAGCCCTGACATCCTGTGTTCTAAGGGCCCTCCTCACTCTGCCATCCTGTGTTCCAATGACCGTCCCAGACCTGACATCCTGTGTTCTAAGGGCCCTCCCAGCTCTGATTTTCTGTGTTCTAAGGACCCCCCCAGCCCTGACTTTCTGTGTTCTAAGGGCCCTCCCAGTCCTGACATCCCGTGTTCTAAGGGCCCTCCCAGCCCTGACATCCTGTGTTCCAAAGGCC